ACATTGCTGGCTCATGTTCATCCTCCTATCCACCAGGACCCCCAGGTCCCTTTCCCCTTCGCTACTTTCCAGCAGGTCAGTCCCCAGCCTGTACTGGTACATGGGGTTGTTCTTCCCCAGATGCAAGACTCTACACTTGCCCTTGTTGAATTTCATCAGATTTCTCCCTGCCCAACTCTCCAGCCTGTCCAGGTCTCGCTGAATGGCCACACAGCCTTCTGGTGTGTCAGCCACTCCTCCCAGCTTAGTGCCATCAGCGAACTTGCAGAGAGTACACTCGGTTCCCTCATCCAGGTTGTTGATGAAAATATTAAACAGCACTGGTCCCAGCACCAACCCCTGAGGGACTCCACTAGTCACAGACCTCCAGCTAGACTCTGCACCATTGACCACAACTCTCTGCCTTCTTCCTTCCAACCAGTTCTTGATCCACCTCACTACCTGATCGTCAAGCCCACGCTTCCTTAGCTTATCTATGAGAATGCTGTGGGAGACAGTATCAAATGCCTTACTGAAATAAAGAAAAACCACATCTACTGCTCTACCATCATCCCTCCACCTAGTCACTTCCTCATAGAAGGCTATAAGGTTGGTCAAACATGACTTCCCCCTCATAAAACCATGTTGGCTGTTCTTAATAACGCCCTCATCCTTGATATGCCTAGAAATGGAGTCAAGAATAAGTTGTTCCATCACCTTTCCAGGGACAGAGGTAAGGCTGACCGGTCTATAATTACCCGGGTCCTCCTTCTTGCCCTTCTTATAGACTGGTGTGACATTTGCCATCCTCCAATCCTCAGGCACCTCTCCCGTTTCCCACGACTTACCAAAGATGATGGAGAGTGGCCTAGCAATGACCTCCGCCAGCTCCCTCAGCACCCGTGGGTGCATTCCATCCGGACCCATCGATTTATAGATTTCCAGATTGCATAGCTGATCCCTAACCCAATCCTCATCTACCAAAGCAAACTCCTCCTTCGTCCTGACTCCTTCTGGAGCAATAGGAATCTGGGGCCCCCGGGGAGAGTCTGCAGGAGTAAAGACAGAGGCAAAGAAGGCATTCAGCACCTTTGCCTTCTTTATATCCTCTGTCTCCAGGGCACCCACCTCGTTCAGCAGTGGGCCTATATTGCCTCTTGTGTTAGTTTTATTTGCTATGTATTTGAAGAAACCCTTTCTATTGTCCTTAACCTGACTAGCAAGATTAAGTTCCAAGGAGGCCTTAGCTGTCCTAATTGCCTCCCTACATCCTCTAACAACTGTTCTATATTCCTCCCAAGTGGCCAGCCCCCCCTTCCATAATCCATAGATTCTCCTTTTCCACTTGAGTTTGCCCAGCAGCTCCTTGTTTAACCACGCTGGTCTCCTAGCTCCCTTACTTGATTTCCTGACCATTGGGACGCTCAGATCCTGAGCTTGGAAGAAGCGGTCCTTGAATGCTGACTGACTATCTTGAGCCCCTTTACCGCCTAGTACCCTTTCCCACGAGACTTCTCTTAGCAGTTGAGTGAACAGGCCAAAGTTGGCCCTTTGGAAATCCAGAACTGTGGCCTTGCTAGGTATTCTATTCCTCCCACACAGGATCCTAAACTCCACCATCTCATGGTCACTGCAGCCAAGGCTGCCACTGATCACCACCCCTTCAACCAAACCCTCCTTGCTGGTGAGTACTAAATCTAGCAGTGCTCCTCTCCTAGTTGGTTTGTCCACCACTTGCATTAAGAAGTATCATCAATGCACTGGAGGAACCTCCTAGACTGTGAATGATTGGCTGTGCGAGTCTTCCAGCAAATATCGGGATAGTTAAAATCCCCCATGAGGACTAAGGCATGTAGTTGCGAGGCTACTTCCAGTTGCCTGTAGAAAGCCTCATCAACTCCTTCATCCTGATCAGGAGATCTATAATAGACCCCCACAACTGTATCACCCGTACCAGTCTGTCCCTTAATTTGTACCCACAGACATTCCATTTGCTCCTCATCTGGCCCCAGACAGAACTCAATACAATCTAGTTGCTCTCTCACATAAAGAGCAACTCCACCACCTCGCTTTGCTGACCTATCTTTCCTAAAAAGGACATAGCCATCCATGACCACATTCCAGTCATGTGAGCTGTCCCACCATGTCTCTGTAATTGCCACTAGATCATAGCCTTTAGACTGCACATAGACTTCTAACACCTCCTGTTTATTCCCCATGCTGTGTGCATTGGTGTACAGGCATTTCAGGGAGTGAGCAGAGCACGCTGCTGGCTCCCTCGGGAGGCAGGAAGCCTTCACGTCTTCATTAATACTAGAACCTAGTCCGCCCTAGTCCGCCATCCTTTAAGCTCTAGCATGTTTCTCATGGGCTTGTCCCTAACAGGCCCAGATAAATCCCCTCCCCCCTTCATATCTAGTTTAAAGCCGTCAATAAGCCCTGCTAACTCCTGCCCCAAAACTCTTTTCCCTCTCTGGGACTGGTGTATCCCACCTGCCACCAGCAAACCAGGTGTCTCATACAGCAGCCCGTGGTTGAAAAACCCAAACCCCTGCCTTTGGCACCAGTCACGTAGCCATACATTCATCTGCAGACTCTTCCTATTTATCTCTTCACCCTTGCTTGTAACAGGTATAGAGGCAAACACCACTTGCGCACCAGACCCTTTAACCAGCTGCCCCAGGGCTCTCAAATCTCTCTTCATTGCCCTTGCCCTCCTTGTAATAATTTAATCACCACCAAGCTTAAAAACCAGCAGCGGATAATAGTCAGAGGGCTGCACCAGATCACAGAGTTTCTTTTTAACATCTCTAATCTGAGCCCCAGGTAGGCAGCAGACTTCCCTATGGGATGGATCAGGTCTACAAATAGGCCCTTCTGTTCCCCTCAGAAGGGAGTCACCCACCACAATTACTCTTCTTTTCTTCTTGGTTGGTGAAGTTCTAAGGCATGGGGGTGAGTGGCAAGCCCTAGGTGACTCACTAGATAGATTTACCTCTCCATCTCCATTTACCTGGCCCTGTAGTTCCAAGACCTCATACCTGTTATTCAAGGGCAACTGGGAGGGAGGAAGGGATTGTGAGGGTTTTCGCTTACCTCTCCGAGGAGGGACCACCCTCCATACATCCTTGTCCCTTAAGTTCTCTCCTTCTGTCTGATGGTAGGAGGGAAGGGGATCCATTACTTGTTCAACCACTTCCCTCTGCCCTTGCCTTAAGGTGTGGCTCCCCCAATCTATTTCCCTTTCGCATTCTCTGATGGCTCTCAACCTGTCTACCTCCTCCCTCAGTTCAACCACCTGCCTGAGCAGATCACTTATTTGCTCACAGTGAACACAAGCAGTGCTACTGGCTCCCTCCAATACAAGTGCCAGGCCCAGGCATTCACTGCAGCCGGACACCTGCACGGCCGCATGTCTGCAGAAAGGCTCAGTCTGGATACCCACATTATTACTCACTACAGCTTTTGATCGCGTTACAACCATGATCTATCTGATCGATCAATCCGTCTACGTCTCTCCACACAAACAGCATTTCTGGAAAGACCAGAGATCCACCCACTTCTGGATGTGGCACAACTTTACTTGCAGACATACCAATTCAGAAGCAGCCCTTGCAGCTGATCTTAACTGATTTCCTGTTTGAGTACTTCAATGACACTGATTCATGGGAAAACCAGAAAGAAGCCATGGTCAAAATATTGGGCAAACTGTTTAAGCTAATGAGGGAGGACACTGGTTTTTGTGAAGCAGCTGGTAGTGAGAGCCTGGAGGAGAAAAGGAAAACAGCTGCCTGGAGATAAGAACTAAATTCATTAACATGAGCAAAGTGAAGGGGGACACGCTGGTGTGCTTCAGCATGTGAAACGTCAAGACAGAAATGGCGTATGAATATTGCTCATCTCACTCAGCTGACTGGTACCCTTAGGTTATGCCTACACTAGTGCATAATATAAGCCCCAGGGATTTAACCTGGGTGCTCAGTCCCTGATCATCTGCTCTGCAAAACATGTGAGTCTACTATATTCTGTAGTAAAATCATTTGCAACAGCCCACATTCAGTAAGTCTGATTGCTCCTGAAGGGCAACCAGTTGAACGATGCTGGTCACCAGGACCTGCAAGAGCTATGTCTACTGGGCTGCTTGTGAGGCTGTGGCCTAGATTGGATGAATGCAGCTTAAAATGAACTCCCCAAAGCCTGCCATTTAAAAGAGTAGATCATCTTACAGATCTGATCTAAGGCACAGCTCTGTCAACCGTTACTTAGCACAGTTGTATTAATTCAGGCTGTAGGGGAGAAGGTGGGAGTAGAGTGAGAGGCAAATGACTTAAACCAGATCTACTGTCAATGAAGCATGAAGCTGTGCCCTCTGAGACAGCAGCTGAAGACTAACGGACATATGGATGTATCTACATTCCGTTCACATTCCTTCTGTTCACAGCTTGATTGAAGGAATCTTGTGCTCTTTGAGCTGGTGTTCTCTTTGCCTTTAGTGATATCCCTCATCTGGGAGTTCACCTCCATGTGAAAGCTCATTGTTAGCATTAGGCCTATCTGGGATGCCAAAAACAAGAACTCCACAACAGATCTGATCACTTCATTTTCTTGCCTAAAGCATACTGTAATTTCTTCTGTTTGGCTCTGTGGGTGGAAAAGGCATTTCAGCATACACTGCCATGTTCATTACACGGAGTTTTTCCGTGCTAGATGTATTAACATCTCTGTTATTACTGCCAGCCCTCTCCTCCCCCATACCAAGCGGCTGCCTGAGAGAGAATTTCTTTTAAGGACAGACTCCCAGTAGTAGTATTCTCCTTCTCTAAGTGAAGATCTCTCTGAAGAGATTCTGCTTTCTTTGAATCCTGCCTTCCCCAGATTTCTTAGAAAGTCATTATTTGAAGATGTTGAAATCACTGGCAAAAATATCACCTGAATTCTAGAAATCAGTGTCATAATTACCTCCTCATAATCAGTAACACCACAAAACCATGGCGTTTGAGTTTAAAAGTTCTATGCAGGAAAAAATGTTTAACATTTAATATAAAATCAAAGTTTGACATAGCTTATTTTTCAAATGTCATCCTTCTTCTGCTCATCAACTGACAATTAGACCACCACAATTAAAAAAGTAATCCTAAATACTTTTAGGAGCCTTATAGAAAACATTCATAAAGTGCCACCCACAAAAGCATCTAAACAAGAATCTGAGAGAAATACCCGTAAGGATGTTAATTAACTTAATTACTGCTGAGGAGTAAGCTGTCATTTGTGGAACTGTCAATGTAACAACCATACAACCCAGCAAAAATACTGCTCCATAGATGACATCCCAAGAAAGCACATGTATGCTGAGGCATGCAGCAGTCTTGTGGGACTTTAAAATAAATAGGTACTAATGTCACCCAAACCCAAGACCACTGGCAAGTGGGAAATGCGGATTCTAAAGGGAGTGATCATCCCAGGCTGTGGCCTTACCATGTGGTAAAACCCAGGCAGCTTCTACAGCAAACCTTGTACAGCAAACAGGTACAGATTTTAGCTCTTTTTTACTGGGATAAAAACCATTCCCTGCTAGAAATAACAGAGAAAGACACCAGTCCTATGTTCTCTTCTCTGGCCTTGAACATACCATACCATATAAGCACCTTTCCTCTCCCTATCCCCAAAAGAGGGGCTCAGAACAAGCACTGCACCACAGTGAACACAGCTTGTTTCGCAGCAGCCTCCCTCTGCTCAACTGCCTGGACAGTGTTCAGTTACCCAGAATGCAAGGGGACAAGGCTCTGAGAGCTTCCTTCCACAAAACTCATGTCCCGTATCAGGTGTCCAGGGAGCAGCTGTGCATCTTCTCAACACCAGGTAGCTGCCTGTGGTCCGCAAAGCCTTCTCCACTCCACCAGCTAGTCAGTGTGGTGCTTCTGGTGGCATACCAGCTGGGGCTGGAAACGAAAGCTCTCCCCACACTGGGTGCAGCGGTACAGCTGCTCCCCAGTGTGGATACAGGTATGCTTGATGAGGTTGGAGTTGCCACTGAAGCCCCGGCCACACTGGCTGCATTTGTAAGGCTTCTCACCAGTGTGGGTACGAGTGTGGTTAATGAGGTCAGAGCTCTGCCCAAAATGTTTGCCACACTGCCCACAGGCGTAAGGCCGAATGCCGTCATGGGTGCGCTGGTGCTGAAGGAGGTGGGAGTGTTGGCTGAAGTTTTTTCCACAGGCTGGGCACTTGTAGGGCCGCTCACCTGTGTGCATGCGCTGGTGCTTGATGCAGGTGGAGCTGTCGCTGAAGATCTTGCCACACTCACTGCACATGTAGGGCTTGAGCCCCGTGTGAATGCGCTGGTGCTTGAGGAGGTTGGAGCTCTGGCTGAAGCTCTTCCCACACTTAGCACAGGTGTAGGGTTTCTGGCCCGTGTGGACCCACTGGTGCTGGATGAGATGGGAGCTCTGGCTGAAGCCCTTGCCACACTCCCCGCACAGGAAGGGGCGCTCCCCAGTGTGCATTCGCTGGTGCTGGATGAGATGGAAGCTCCGACTGAAGCCCCTGCCACACTCAGAGCAGATGGTGGGTAGCCCTGCACAAGGAGTGTGCTGTGAGGCTGCTGATGTCCTTCTGTCCTGTCTTTTTACCAGGCTGATATTAGAATAAGGTGGCTTAGTCATCCCTTCTTCCTCACACCCACCCTGCTGAGCTCCTGAGGAATCATGCTGACTTCCATGACTGTTTTCCAATTGTTCCTCTCCTCCTCTGGATCCCACTGCCAACACATCCTGAAGATCTGTGATTGCAAGGTGATCTGGAAGGGGACCTAGCTCATCATCTGGAAAAAATGTATAACTGTAACTGTGATTCTTGGTGGGGAGTGGCACAACAGAGAATGGGCAAGCTGTTACCCTAGGAAGCCTGATCTGCACTGTGTAGGAGGAGCAGTAAAAGGAAGACTGACGTGCCACAAACAGTAGAGCCAAAGGCTATGCTACAGGTGTCTCCTTGCCCCCAACAAATCTTCACGTCTCGTCTTCCTAATACTCCGTCTTCCTATACATACTCTTAACAGCAGGCTGGCAAAGGCTGTCTGCCTGCCCTGAGGGGAAAAGGTCTTAATATGAGCTGCATGAAATAAAATGGCTGCTGAAGCAATTCAGAAAGCATTTTGCTTGCTGTGTTTATAATTTTATCTAACTTGTTCCTCACCCATGTGTGTCTCCTCTGAGGCCTCATGATCTTGTTCTTCTCCTTGGTCCATCTGTGCAGTTACATCAGGTTCAGCAACCAGGAATCCTTACAAAAGCAAACAAAAGTAATCTTAGTTGAATATTCAGCAAGAGCTTTTCATATGTCTTAAAATCTACTGCCCCTGCTGGAGAGCAAGCAGAGTGGTTGCCTGAAAGAATGAAGTCAACTGAGCAACAGCATTTATGGACATTCTGTATGCTAAAGAGGTATCCGGAGTTAGAGACTTGCCTTAGAGGAGATTCAAGGCTGCCTCTCTTATCATAAGCGTTAGGGCATAGACCAGATGTGCTGGACTCAGAACTGGTTGACAGCAATGCTAGATACCAGTGTAAGCAATGAGCAAAACCCAGCCAAGCCACACTTACAGTTCTTTAATGACAGCCAAAAGACTCATTACTCTCCTAAGATTATTTTAAATGGAAACTTTAAAATTTCTTTAGTTACCAGAACCTGATTTTCTTACTTGCTACCTCCTCTCTTTCTTCTCTTTCAGGACTATCAGGCTGAGGCAGCAAAACCCAACAAAACATGATGGCAATATGATATCTTGTCTACTCTAGCTGGATTCTGTTGGTTCCCACCCTGACGTCCCTACTGAGCTCCAGCAACCGCCACAGTTGCAGCTGTTGGGCAGGGTGCTCTTACAAACCCTGTTAGCACCAAAGATGAGAACTTTCCCTTCAGGATTTCCTATTTTAAGGCCAAAGCCAGACAAACAGTAAGCAACAGCAGTTAGTATCAAGAGGACAGGCATCAGCAGTTGCTGCAGGGAAAAAAAAAAGCAGAAGAACAGAGAAAACAGTCACTTTATATTCAGAAGTAGGAATCAAAGATCATAGAATCATAGAATAGTTAGGGTTGGAAAGGACCTTAAGATCATCAAGTTCCAACCCCCCTGCCATGGGCAGGGACACCTCGCTCTAAACCATATCACCCAAGGCCTCGTCCAACCTAGCCTTGAACACTGCCAGGGATGGAGCATTCACAGCCTCCCTGGGCAACCTATTCCAGTGCCTCATCACCCTAACAGGAAAGAATTTCCTCCTTATATCCAATCTAAACTTCCCCTGTTTGAGTTTTAACCCATTACCCCTTGTCCTACCACTACAGTCCCTAATGAAGAGTCCCTCCCCAGCATCCCTATAGGCCCCCTTCAGATACTGGAAGGCTGCTATGAGGTCTCCACTCAGCCTTCTCTTCTCCAGGCTGAACAGCCCCAACTTTCTCAGCCTCTCTTCATACGGGAGGTGCTGCAGTCCCCTGATCATTCTTGTGGCCTCCTCTGGACTTGTTCCAACAGTTCCATGTCCTTTTTATGTTGAGGACACCAGAACTGCACACAATACTCCAAGTGAGTTCTCACAAGAGCAGAGTAGAGGGGCAGGATCACCTCCTTCGACCTGCTGGTCATGCTCCTTTTGATGCAGCCCAGGATACTGTTGGCTTTCTGGGCTATGAGCACACACTGCTGGCTCATGTTCATTTTCTCATTGACCAGCACCTTCTCCGCAGGGCTGCTCTGAATCTCTTCTCTGCCCAACCTGTAGCTGTGTCTGGGATTGCTCCGACCCAGGTGTAGGACCTTGCACTTGGCATGGTTAAACTTCATGAGGTTGGCATCAGCCCAGCTCACAAGCGTGTCAAGGTCCCTCTGGATGGCATTCCTTCCCTCCAGCGTATCAACCGAACCACACAGCTTGGTGTCATCGGCAAACTTTCTGAGGGCGCACTCAGTCCCACTGTCCATGTCAGTGATGAAGATGTTAAACAAGACCGGTCCCAACACTGATCCCTGAGGGACACCACTCGTTACTGGTCTCCAGCCGGACATTGAGCCATTGACCACAACTCTTTGTGTGCGGTCATCCAGCCGGTTCTTTATCCACCGAGTGGTCCATTCATCAAACTGATGTCTCTCCAATTTAGAGACAAGGATGTCGTGTGGGACAGTGTCAAATGCTTTACACAAGTCCAGGTAGATGACATCAACTGCTTTAGTGCTGTCCATCAGTTCTGTAGCCCCATCATAGAAGGCCACCAAATTGGTCAGGCAGGATTTCCCCTTAGTGAAGCCATGCTGGCTGTCACCAAGCACCTTGTTGATTTTCATATGCCTTAGCATGCCTTCCAGGAGAATCTGCTAGAAGGATACCACGTGGGTGTATCTAGGACCAGAGGTTGATGGCATCACAGCTAAAGGCGAGATCACTTATGGGACTATTTTCAAAGCATTAAAGACATTGCTTTCCCCCACCCCTTTTAATCTTTATAGGTTCTTACTAGTTTGCATCACTTCAAAAGTGCACCCCCTGAACTCTGCTTCAAGCTACCAGTCTCTCTGAACAACTGATATCTCTGGACAGCTAGTCAAGCTCCAGACAGGATGGACTAACCGGACAGATGGCCACTGGTTCAAACCAACACTGCAGACTGATGGGTACCTGCTACGGGATCATTCCATTCTTCACCAACAGCTACTTTACAATAGGTAGCAGGTGATAAGGGATTAGATAGTGCCAGAATCAAGGAGACAACTCAGATGAAGGGAACAGTTTGAGACCTTGGATGCCTACAATTACAAAACCACCACTCTTGCAGTCTTTCATTCTATGTGGCAAAGCTGGACAGAAAGAAGGGGAGCAAGCAAAAGAGAAACACTACAATTTTGAACTGCAGAACCATAAAGAAAAAAAAATCAGACATATAACAATGAAGCCTTAGCAAAAGAAAAGAGGCATTCTTAAAACCTTATTAAAAGTTAACAATCTAAGTGCCTACTGTAAATATCTGCTGAACGCTGAAGTGGACCACCCCTGCAGATAGATCAGTTCTAGCAGTTCCAAGCCAATACATGAAGGGAGGTTGCTTTCTGCAGCCCTACAGCTCTTGGGACTTTGCCACTATCAAGACTCCTTGCTGCAACAGCCCAGCACTACAAGCCACACCAAGCTGTCTTATGTGATATGTACCAAGACAGCCCCATTCCAAAGCTGGAGTCGAAACCATATCCACACACAGACTTTCCCTCCAGGCAGCTGACCTCAAAGAGCAGAGCTTCCCTCCAAAAGCTGTCAGCAAACCTGAACTTTGGGAGCCCAAAGCCCTCAGCATTTCAACATCTAACAAATGCCCCAAGAGTTGCCATTCAGGGAAACATCTAAGCAAGCAGACAAGGTAGAAAGAAGAGTTCCTTTGTGACCCTGGAAAGATTTCCTGGCTTGGTTGCTGCTATGCTCAGGTTTGCTACAGCAGCTCAACAGAAAGCAGATAACCCCAAATACAATTAACAGGCTGGTCTGGAGCAAGGAAGTTTTGTCATTTCCCATGATCAGATTCATGTCCCTGTGAAAGGAAGGGACAAACCTTATCACCAGAGAGAACGTTATTCTTTCAGGGATTTCATCCCTTACTAGCAGGAGCATATCCCTGGGCATACTGTGTTACTGCTTGAATGTGGGAACCAAGATGGGAAGAACGCTTGTGTATGTGGGTGTGTGGGACTCCTGCAGGCACCATCCACAGCTTTACTAAAATAGGATCAGAAGGGTATCTAATTTGGGCCTCCAGCAAGGGAATTGCAAATCCCTTGTGCTGTTCCTGCAGCCTTGGCTTTAGTACTGCAATAGTATTATCTAGATTTTGTACCTGACTCCTACAATTTATGTTCTTTACCTTGGCTACTTACTTTCTCTTATGACCACTCAGCTCTACATTCCTCCCATGGCTGTACCATGCTGTGGAGGTTATGGGACTCATCCTAGTGCAGATCACCGTATTTTCAGCTTCTTATGCTCCTGCAGTGCCCTCTGTGGCTATGCACTCTAGGCATCCTCACTCCAGGCATGACAGCAGAAACCTGCAATCCAGAACAAGGCGTTCAGATCTTTCTCTTCCCAGCTATTATCTGGGATAGATAATGCTTGCAGTAAAAAGCAAAAGGTGAAGATATTATCACAGACAACAGTTACTTGTGTTTCTTTTAGGTTTGACGAAAGCCCCCTTCCCTGTACCATGAGATGTACTCAACCTGCAGCGCTTTCCTGTGCCTGCTCAGCCCTGAGCACAGCCAGGGGTGCTGAAGCACAGACACGGGAGGGCCTCTGTGGGGTGCACTGCTGGGGCACCCTCAACGGTGTGTGAGGCGCAAGTGTGGTGTAGTTCTGGGGGAACAAGGCAGTGGCAGGGGTGTAAAGCTTCCTGTAACAGCCGTAAGAAGCACTGTGTGGAAAATGGGGAGGGACCGGCGTCTGCTCGCGGGCAGGAGGATGGAGAGGGGGAGCTGCATAACAGGTAAGGGAAGCGTGCAGACAAGAGTGGCCGCTACATCAGAGCCCCCCGAGACAGGGGCGAGCCGGCCCTCCCCTTCTTCGAGCTGCATTTTTGCTTCTCCTTTGGGTATCTCCTTCCTACACAGGGCCAAAGACAAAGCCTCTGACGCGGGCCTCATGCCCGGCTCCCGGTGCGCTTGACTTCCCCCAGGAGCTGAACGGCACAGCCGTGAGTGGGCTGGGGCACCCCATCCCAGCTCCCCGGTGCCGCCCCGTCCCCCAGAGCAGCGGGTGTCGGGAGACGAGACTCGGCCGGGCCGGGCCGAGCCGACCCGAGCCGCGCCCACCTGCAGACGCCCGCTTCCGCCCGGCCGTGCGCCGATAGCGGCTTCCTGCTCCGCTGGCAAAGGGCGCTTCCTGGGCGGGGCGAACGGTGCCGGGAGTGAGGAGGGAGCCGCTCGCCGTGGCAGTGCCCAGCTCTGCGCGGGGCGGGAGGAGCTGCGTTGCTATGGGTCACTCTTCGGGATGTCGCGCTCCTGTGATTATTGTTTGACATCACATTGTCAAGGTTAACTTATAGGGCAGAAGAAAAGCAGATGAAGTGGGATGTGTAGAAATTTGTCTTTGGTAGGAAACAGGGCCCAGAGCAGCTCCATGAGAGGACATCAAGCAGTCTGCAAGATGGGAGAGGAGATAGGAAGTCACTTTGTTTTGAAATTACTGCCTCATTTGGAGTTTTCCTAGGTGAAAGATATGTACCTGGTGCTTTACAACACGGTGCCTGTTCTTAATTTCTCCCATGTAATTCATACCTGGAGGGAAGGAGGGATATGAGTACATGTGTTTTCATGAAACGTGGTAGGAAACGTGAGACCTCAGGTGTGTAAATGAGTTCTTCCTTCACTGATGTTAAAGAAGTTCTCCCTATGCAGTAGGGGACCTGGATGTTCACTGTTTTCTCGTCATGGTGACATTTGTGTTTTCCTGCCACCTTGCCAGGGAACCGATGGGAGTGGGTTTGAACATGGAGAAGCTGTGTGGTTACAGACGCAGGGAGGAGACAGCAGATAATGCTGCACAAGGCCACAGATCCCAAGCAACTTTCCACCTTGGCCCCTGTGTCCCAACTGATAGATGCACTGCCTTTTTGGATGGTGTTTTTTTCACACCACCACTTACTCCAAGGTGATAAGTTGCACAGCCTTTCTAGGAGTTAAAACACCCAAACATAGTATGTGTTTACCAGTGGTACAAAACAGGCTGGCTGTGAGATGAGGACCCAGTGAGGGCACAGAAAGGAGTGGGTTTCCAGGAATCTGAAACTCTTTCCTACTAACATAGTGGAAAAATACCCTCAGAGCCACCTGATTTCCTTTCCACTTAAAGCGATTGTTAGCAAGGCACAAGTGATAAGCATTAGTCAGAAACCTTAGTGGCTGTCCTAAAGGGAATGAGAATTGCAGTAAGAGAAATGAAGGGGGTTTGGTGTGTGGTGCTGAAGCTTTGTTTGTTAAGGTTTAAGTATCAACTGGCATTAAAGACTCTGTTGGAGAACTGATGACTGCTACGGGCTCATTACATTGGCAGTCTGTAATTTTACTGGCTGTGGACAGATGGAGAAATGGTCTTCCACAAAGTAAGATGGGCATGAAAGGGAAGACAGAGCTCCATCAGTTTATGAAACAGCACAACTGAGAGGCACGTTGCTGTGTCCTTGTCATGTCTGCAGCAGACAGCATTTTCTTAGACGTGTGATGGGTTGAAGATCAGTATGTTCACAACCAAAGAACAAATGTATGCAGAAGACTGAAAGAGTAAAGTAACCCTGGCTGCTGGACCTCCATCCTTGCAGGTTTTTGAAAAGTAGAGAGGCAAAGCCATGGGTGACCTGATACGCTGCTGCAATAGTCATTCTCTGAGGAGGAGGCTGGACTCCAGAGGCCTCTCCCAATCAGCATCTCTCTGGTTGTGTGACCAAGATGTGGGTAATTGTGGTTACCCTGCATGTAGCACCCTGCAGACAATTCAATAGTTGAAAGCTGGTAATCTGGGAGAAATCTTCAGAAAAGGGTTTGGCAACAAAGTGCACAAAATGGATCATGTGACCCTATTTCAGGAAAAAGGGAAAGAAGCAAAATGTGTCTGGGTTGATAACAATGGTAAGCCAACTGGATCACTATTCAAATACAACTGCCTGAATCTAGATAGATATTATCAACAAAGTTCTTGCATTTCAAAATAGCTGCATTAATTCAGAAACACCACCATGTCAGGTCTTGGCTCCAGTTTTTTACTACTTCAGAGCAATCTCAGTGTTTGATAACTCTGAACTTCACCTAGCTGAAGTTTTTGTTTTGACAAAGCCAATGTATCAGTTTTAAAAGGTTTATGCTTTTAATGTTAAAATTATTTTGTCTTTAAAAAAGCCCACAATGCTTAACTTTCAGCTTTACAGGTATTTTGGTACTTCTGTGCCAAAAGGAATGCCATGCCTGCCCAAAAGCCTTTCATTTACACTCAGCAGAAGTGCCACCTGAATGGAAGTTTACTCCAGTTGAAGGATTGTGGTTGCCCACTGAAGATTGTTCCTTAAACTTCTGTATTGATCAACCATTGATCGCTTGCACTGAAAAGCTTTTGGTGCAGAGTGATAGATGAATCACTCCTATGTAGAGCACTGACATGCCACGCAGCTGCTAAAAGAGAAATAAACAGAGAACAGTTTGCTGTCTTACTGTTTTTCAAACCTATTTGACAGTAAACTCTGTTCCAAGTATTTCAGCTCCATCAACACAGTTTTCTATAGCCTAGATAAGATTGCTTGTTTACACTGCACAGTTAAGTGCAGTGCTTTCCAAGAAGATACTGACAGCCCTTGGTTTTAATGTGAGGTATTGGAACATTTCCCCACCCCTACCCCCAATAGTTTCTGATAATGGGAATTACAGAATCATAGAGTGGTTGAAAGCGGAAGGCACTCCGGGATAACGTCTAGTCCAATCCCCTGCTCAATCAAGTAGGGTCAGCCAGAGCAGGCTGACTGGGACCATGAATAGTCAGGTTCTGAGTATCTCCACGACTCCATTCCATTTCAGGGAAAAAAAAAAAAAAAAAAGTGAAAGAAGGCAAACTAACACCAGATTGACTGAAAAATTGGAAAGCAAGCAGTTGCTGTATCAGTGCTAAAAGGCAACTGCTCCAATCTAGGCATGTGCTTATGGGAAAACCAAGCAAGCTGCTAAGCAGCTTAGCAGCATCACTCTGTCATGTTCAGGGCAACTTCATTGTGTTTCAAGGATTCTGCAGACTACTATATGTGCCAGTTCTCAGGGAGGATTCCAGCTTAAGGTATTCATGTTGGTGTCTCATTAGTAACTGCTGCTTTGAGCTTCTTGCATTGAATCAAGTCTGTGAGCAGCCTTAAAGATGGATGCTGAAAGAAGAGCTTTCTGCCAGGATACTCAAGAACACGTGACTGGGACTAAAACAGCTATCAGAGCTATTGCAAACACATGACCAAGTTGTGTGGCTAATGGCTCTTGAGGTGTCCTATGTACTACGAACTTGGAAATTTTCTGTTATTCCCAGATACAGGGGTCAGAGGGGTCATCAGTTACTCCTTGTCCTTCAATTACAGATATATTAAGGGAAGACTAAGCAAAAGAGCACAGAACTGGCCACAGCCATGAAATGGTGGCTCAAAGGGTCAAATGAGTCCTTGGCACCACTCTGTCAGCTTAGAGAAGTATCTCCTGCCACCATCTTGCAAAAGGCATTCTCCGTTTTTGTGGTATGAGTAAACAGGCTGCATAGGGGAGTTAAAAGATTTAGACTGTTTAACTAGCAAACTATTTAAATCATGTGTCTTCTAGATTTTGCTCTCATATACTTGGGGAATAAGATGTTTGTGTACTGAAGGGGTCAGTCTTTCCTCATGTTTTCCCTCAGGCTGTTGATGGTGTTGAATTACTTCATTTTAGGTGATGATTGATCCAGAAATTGAGCTATATTGATGTGGTTATTTGATTAAATGTGTATTTTATCAACCTTATCAGGTTAACTGTGTTATGCAAAGTAACAGTGAGCAGCTTCCAGTCCCATTGCAGCTTCATTTCAATTGGAACCGATTGGCTGATGAGTTCTAAGTGAAACTGTGTTTGTGAAGTTACATGCACATGCTTTATCTGCCCAGAGGTAATGGTGATCCAGAAACTGAGCTGTATTGATGTGGTTGCAAGTCAACATCTTTCCACTTTGAACCCAGGATAAATCTATAGCTAAACCATGAAGTACCACTATTCAGCAAGCCTTGCTGCTGTTTTGGGCTGTGTAAAGACTCGTCTGCTTACTACCTACTAAACATGCTGCATAACAAGGACCATCACCAGTTTGGTGTGGCAGGCAGGAAGTGGGCCTGTGCCATCACTGGTGGATATGCAGTAGGTCAAATGAATGATGTCTTTGGTGACTGCCATGCTTGTGGAGCTCATTTAATCAGTCTAGCTACAGACCACCATGCAATGATTGATACTGGTTTGGGCACATCTGAGGTAGTGCACTGTCCATCTTTGTTACAGCAGAAGATGGTAATGCTTGGTGTGGCTGCTCTCCTTCAGAGATCTTCTGATGCTGAATAATGTTTGATGTTCTGCACTGACAAACATCTGGCTATGAATCTAGCTTCATTAAATCACCCTGTTAATTTGGATCTTTGAGTTGCTGCAGGACTTTGCATGCTTTAGATTTATTTCCTGAATTTTTTGCTTGTCCCTTGCTATTAATTTGAATGCTTTTGGGGTGAAAGAAGCTAGTTTGCAGTTTTTCCTCCCTTTTCTTTAGAATGTGTAATCATAGGTTGGTTATTCTCAGAATGCTGGTGTTTTTGTAGT